TTTGACAATGGCATCTCACTGTGCTGAGAGGTAAAGTAAAATCTATACTAGTCAACAAAACTAAACACAAACATCCAAATACTTTAGTTCTGAAGTCTTTCATTAGTATATGTCAACTGAACAGTATTACCATACAAAACCTTTCTTCAGGACATTAGGTCATGTCAAAAAAAGAGCTAAAGATAAAAAATTAGGCCTACTACAAACCCAAACTACTTTAGACAAAATTGGTACATTTAATTTTACCTTTTTCCAGTGTCTAACATCAGAAAAGTCAGCCGTAGCAGTGAAGATCCTCTCCACAGATCCTTGTGCAGAGTTGCCCAACGGTTTCCAGACTCTACCTGACGAGACATGTCGCAACTACCTGCTTTGCCACTCTGGACAGACCATCGCCAAGCTGCACTGCGCGACGAGCGAGCACTTCAATGGTGACAAGTGCGTGCCAGCCACCAACACCAGCTGTGCGTCCTACTGTGCCGACAAACCTGACGGCTTTACTACCGACTTACGTCGCCAATGCCGAGGCTACGTCAGCTGTGTCAAAGGCAGAGTGGTTGAAGAACTGGCCTGCAAAGACGGCTCACTTTTCAACGGAAAAACATGTGTCCCTGCCTTGCTGTATCAATGCCCTGTACCTGTGAAGAAAAACGTTTGTTCCAAACTGAAAGACGGATATCACCAAGATTACATGACCGGATGCAAAGAGTATTTTTACTGCCACCAAGGACAAATGCTGTTGAGAAGTACGTGTAGGGACGGAAAAGTATGGAATGGCTCGGATTGTGTGTCAAGAGATGAATTTTTGTGTGAAGGTCCAGAGATTTGGCCGGGTTGTAGTGCTTTGGACGACGGTCTTTACACAGACCTATCGAAAGGTTCAAAATGTAGATTTTACCACTATTGTTCCGACGGTAAGAAGGTCCGATTGAGTTGTCCGATGGGGTATGTATTCAACGGGAAAACTTGCGTAGAACAAGATTCCTATCACTGTCCACTGCTTGACACGGACTGTCACAATAAGGTGGACGGTTATTACTCAGACCCTAAGTCAGGTTGTCGTTCGTACTATTACTGCTCAAACGGCCAAAAACTGACTTACATTTGCCCAGAAGGTTTACTCTTCAATGGAACAGACTGTGTTAACAAACGCATACACAGCTGCACTGCGAAAATCAGCATTTGCTCCAACAAAACAAACGGATACCACGCAGACGCTGCCACCGGGTGTCACAGGTATGTTTATTGCTTACAAAAAGTAAAAATTACGTCCTTTGAGTGTTCGGAAAATAGTGTTTTTGATGGCAAAAAATGTGTACCGGTCAAAACGGATAGTTGTACTAACGCTAAAGAATCTTGTGATACATTAGAAGATGGTTTATACGGAGAACCCAACTCTCAATGCACTAGATACTTTAAATGTGTGGGAAAAAAGAAGACTACAACTTTTACTTGCCGAGGAGGGAAAGTTTTTAATGGAGTAAAGTGTGTGAAGTACATATGTCCAGTGGAGAAAAAGCAATTGTATAGCCAAGATGATTGTGTGGGGAAGATCGGGTTTTTTCAAGATTTTGAGTCAAATTGTAATAAGTATTACTTTTGTATTAACGGTGTCAAAACTATGCTTTCTTGTAAAAGAGGCCAAGTATTTAATGGGGAGGTTTGTGTTAGTGAGAAAAACTACACATGTCCCACTTAGTTGTAACATTGTAAAACTTCCTTTGGTTTGTTACGGTTGAAGAGAGAGATTATGTTTTAGGATTAGGTAAGGAAAGAAAATTGAAGTTGGAGAAGACGTTTTTTTTAATCTATATAAATAAAATTAGAGTTTTGTCTGTACATTGCTCAGAATCAGAAATTTTTGGGTTATTTTTACGTTTTATACATTAAAGAAGCCGAAACAAGTTTCATCTCAATTTCTGTCTGTCTGTTACGGCCTAAGAGCCTTTTTACGCGGCCTTCTCCTGAAAAACAAGACTACCTATCAAGTTCCAAATCATTTTAATGTATTCACTGGATTGGCGAGAGTGTCTTTAGCTATTAAAATATGGCCTCACTATGTAAATAAAATTACGGACGTTTAAAAACTCAATTTTGTGAGATTTTTGTCAAGTTTTCTCCCAATGTTTATCACAAAATCATCTATATAAAATAAAGGACAGCTGTTCGGATCAAGATAAGTTATTTTTATAAGAAGGTTTCAACTGACTACTAAAAGATCCCCGTGCGTAGAACGGGCACCCAGCTAGTAATAATATATAGAAATAAGTATTTATGCCTTACCATGTTTAAAAAAAATCAACCTTAAATTAAATTTTGACTTCCATTAAATCTTCCATTACGATTAACTTCAAGGCCAAATATTTGTAATAGTTTTTGTAAACAAATGATTCACTTATAGTCAGATGAAAGGTAATTAGTAAATAATAGGTGCTAATTGATGAATAAAGAGACAGGTTTAACATAATGTAAGTATTGACAAGTACTGTTTATTATATTGAATTCTTCTAAAATGGTTTCAAGTTACTGTATAAACATAAATTTGGTGTGAAATAATCAATTAGCACCCTAGTATTAGACTTTGGATGGAATTGAAGTACTGTAGTTTGAAAAAGATGGAATGCAACAAAGTCATTGTACCTGTTGATGATAATTTTATTTTTAATTGTTAAATCATGATATTTAACTTATTTATGCTGTAAATAAACTTACTTTATTTATGAAACTTAAAATGTTTTCCTTCCTAGTTCATTTTGTGTAGATGAAAAGAATTTTCTAATTTCTATGGTTTTTTTTCTAAAATATGTTTGTACAAGCAAATAGACAAACTCGTTTGTTTTTACCAGGACATAAAGAAGTATGTCCATGTTTTTGTGTTGATTCAAGAAATCAGAATTTTTTACAAAAATTTTTCAAATTCAAATTCACTTTATTGTCACATAAAAACATTTGTACATAGCAAAGCTATTAAACTGGTGACATTGTCAATTCAATATAAACCTAAAAATACAATTAAGTTACAGAACATTTTTGTCTGACTCTAAAACAACGATTACATATAACAATGCTGCTTAATTTTGTAAAAAGTCACTTACAGAGTAAAATACTTGGTTTAAAAGATAACTTTTTATAGTATTCTTAAAACTCTTTAAACGGATTTGGCTTTTAATGTTTGTCGGTAGATTATTAAAGAACTTCATACCCATGTAACTAGGGCCCTTTTCATAGATTGTTAAGTTATGTATTGGGTATTGAAAATTGTCTTTGCACCTTGTGTTGTATGCATGTAAATGCTGCTGCCCACAAAGAAGATCAAAATTCTTCTGAATGAACAGTAAGCATGAATATATATAGAGAGAGGGAAGGCTCAATAATCCTAACTGTTTAAAGATTGGCTTGCATGAGACTCGTGGCCGCGAAAATGTCATAATGCGAACAATTCTTTTTTGAAACTTGAATATTTTTTTCCAGTCAGCTGATGAACCCCATAGCTCAATTCCATATTTCATAATAGAATAAAAATAGGCAAAATAAACCATTAATCTAGTTTCCAAATCAGTTCTATCCCTTAACACAAGCATTTGGAAACAAGCAGAATTCAGTTTATTACCGAGTATTGTTATGTATTTTTTCCAGTTTAAATTTTGGTCAATTGTTAATCCCAAAAATTTATTCTGTATTTTAGATGTAATTTCAGTATTTAAAAATTCAACTGCAAATGTTGTAGGGTCATTACTTTGTGCTGTTTGAAATTTCATCAGATTTGTTTTTTCACAATTTAGTTTTAGTCCATTAGTACGAAACCATACTTCAAGTTCCTCCATAGCATTGATAGTAAGTATTTTAAGCTCATGTACACTTTGAGCCTTAAGCAGGGCAGTGGTGTCATCTGCATATAAAATGAGGTTTGTATTAATGTTGCCATCAAGATCATTTATATAAATTAAGAACAATATTGGGCCCAGGATTGAACCCTGGGGAACACCAACTGAAATCTTTTGCCAATCTGATTGAAATTTTAATGAATCTCTTTCTATTACAACTCGTTGCTTACGGTTACTTAAGTATGAACAAAGCCAAGAAATTGCAGTTTTTGAGAAATTATATTTTTTTAACTTTTCTAATAGAATCTCATGCAATACACAATCAAAAGCCTTGGATAGATCACAGAAAATACCAGATACCCTCTGTGATCCATCCAAGACCTCCAAGATGTGCTCTACCAATTCAGTAATTGCCATTGAAGTATTCCTGCCAGATCTAAACCCATATTGACTGCTGGAAAAAATATGATTTGATTCAAAAAATGCTACAATTTGTTTACAAACTATTTTTTCAAAAACCTTAGATAAAACTGGCAGTATTGACACTGGTCGATAATTATCTGGGTTATTGACTCCTCCTTTTTTAAAAATTGGTTTTATTACTGCATATTTCATCTGGTCAGGGAAGATTCCCTCAGTTAGAGATTGGTTGACTAATTTACATAGAGGTTTGGCAATTATGTCTACATTGTCCTTTATGAGGTCTACTGAGATTTCATCCCATCCAACAGACTTCTTATTTTTAATTGAACGTATAACTTCTTTTACTTCTTTCATTGATACACAACTGAAACAAAAAACTGGCAAAGAAGGTGGCAAAACCCTGTCAAGGAAACCAAGGGCATCTTCAACACAAGGCACAATATTTAATGAATTGGATGATTGTAAAAATTTAATATTTAAAACGTTAGCAATTTCAGACCCTGATGTCACTTCCTTGTCGTTAACTATCAAGTTTGGAAAATTCTGACATTTTTCAATGTTGCCAAGCTCCGTTTTTACAATATGGTTTTACATGTTTTGTAAGGGAATGGTCGAAAACCTTTATGGTTACTCGGCCTTTTGTTGGAGATAGCATAATAAGTTGATCGCACATAGTTAATTATGCCAAAAGATTGTATTGTTAATGCTGTAATAAATACCACAAAGGACATTTTTAAATAAAACACAATCAGAGCTAAATAAATAACATCAGTTTATTTCTATTCAAATAAAATGATTATACGAATATTAACAATATTTATAAAACTATAACTATTTAATGGTAAATAAACATTTGATAAACATCAATAATTGCATAACACAACAAGGTTATTGGACGAAAGCAGGGCGATTTTGTAACCTACCTAAACCAGAAGAAAAACATTCTGTGTCGGAATTAATAACGTAAGTGCTTCAAAACAATTATTTTTAACACCAAAGCAACACAAAAATCAGCATAAACCTGAGAGTTTCGTTGAAAAATTGAGGGAATCTAAATAAGCCTATTGGGTTCAATATTTTAAGAGTTCTTATTTAATCTGGTCCCGGTGAAGGATTAGACCATAGCCGTCTCTAGTAATAAGGCCGCGGCCTTCGATGTGGCAACGCCGCGACTCATCCCCGTCCTGGTCCAACTCCGGGTATTGCCACCAGCGTTAAAACGTGCAACATTTCGCCAAAACTGCGCTTATTCACGTTTAAAGCAATGAAAATGTAGCCAGATCAATAGATTAATTTTTAGCATGAAATGCCGCTTACCATTTTTCAGATTGTATTACGAAATACTAATTAATACATGTTTATATAAACGTATATCCACCACTTAATTCCAACCCTGAATATATGTTGCGCATAATGCACAAGCGATATACATTTGTGATAAAAACGTAACCATTTTGGAACCTAATGAGTTATGGAAATATATACTTTTACAAATAGGCCTAGGTTCCCTTAAAATTCTTTTTAATTTTATTATGAACTGGTCGTCTAGTTGTCGAAAACTCAACCAAAAATATGTAATATTCAGACATATCTATTAACCCACGTTGTCAATTAAACATTTTATTGGAATTTCTTTTATTTGATTTGATATTCCGTTCATTTCTTTGTAATTTTGTCACCAGCATGGCAGCAGCTCATGTTATTTTTTGTCTATTTATATTTATAAAGGGATTCTGCACATCTACAGGAAAATATCTTTCTAATAGTATGCGTATATTTTCTCTGCGTTGCACACAAGCTGAGAAAAAAAGTTTTAAACACGCTTGCCTATTAATATATGGGTGATATTATAATTTCAAACTTAGTTTCGAGATATGCAAAGTTGTTTTATATTTCAAAATTTTGTCATTGAATGTTCATGCAGAACTGTACTAAGGTAGAAGAAATATTGCTACACCTCTGACTAAATGCATAGGAAATGTATGCAATACATGTATAATAAAATGTACAAAACACAACTGCGCAAGACTTTGAAAACATCTTGCCTATTTAAAATATTTTAAATTATCTGTATCAATAGTGTATTGATTTTTCATTTTGATAATACATAAGAGGTACAAAAACTGTTTGTTCATACTATTACTATTAATATTTTAGTTTTACATTTTTTATCCAATATGTTTTACTTTAGTTTTAATAAAGTAGGAAATGTGTATTTTCCTAATCAGAACGTGGTACTTGATTAAGTTTAAATTTAGGCTATAGCTCTAATCCACTCATCTTGATGCGGACCTTCTAAAGAGAAGTGAAATAATTGTATATACTCCTCAGTTTTTAATGCTTTTAGGTGGTTACTTTTACACCCCGGCATGACACACTTATGAGGCATAACACACTGTCACTACGAATACTATATTGTCTCTAATTGTGTAAAACAAACAGGTTAATCACCGGTGATGCGCCGTCTATCTATGCAAACTAATGGCGGGAGCCGGCTGGACTATGCCTCCGATGCGACGTTGCCAGATTTCGCTCGCCGCGGCCTTATACTAGAGATGGCTATGATTAGACTATCCTGCTGAGATTGGAGAGCAATGAAGGTTGGGCTGGATTGAAGCAAACTCAAAGTCTCGGAAGATCACAATCGTTATTACCGAACCAACTAAACTCTTTAAGACAATAATTTCTCAAGTTATCATAAGCCATCGTCAAGTTTATCTTTCATTGATCTATTCGATTTCTTTTCTAGGTTATATTTATAGACATTTTGTTTTGCTAATACAATAGAGGGGCATATAATAATTAGTTGGAATATTGTTTATCTTAAATTATTTTAAAATCTTTATCTAAAAATTTTTTTGGGTCCCAGGACTTAGTTCAATAAATTAACTGACTCCAATCTAAAATCATTTTTGACTATAACCAAAATGTTGTATTACAATTTTTCTCATCGGAAAACATCTTGTGAATCTGAACTCATTGCAGTGTTTAAAATGTTGCATGTTTTCAGAAAGACATCATTTTGAGAAGTACTTTCCTGTCTCTTAGATTTAATCGTACAAGAAGACTACAAGAACTAACTCTTTTTTTAACTCTCTTTTATGCACTAACTTACTGTTTTACTTTTTACACTACTACTAAAACTTTGAACTTGTAAAAGAGTTAAAATTCTAGAAACAAATTAACGAGCTCAATCGAAAAGTAGCGAGGTGCATTAACAAATTTGTTTAACTGGTGACAGCAAACTGTATTTGTCTATACTGACTTCAGGCTGAAAATGTACGACTATTTTGATTTATGCCAGATTGGTAACTGAATTTAGCTACGATTTATAAGTATCTTGCACGAGTGAAAACACTGTAAATTGATTCAATTACATCACCTCACTATGTAGTGATACCAAATCATTCTAATGAAACTATTGGGATGTACAACTACTGTTTTAATTTCTGGTCTATTTCCAAATAAAACACTATGGTATCTGGAAATTCCCTAACACATTGTGCATTCAGTGTCCTGATCCAAATTTAATCCAATACAATTATCATTCAAATATCACTATCACAGTTCCAAATTTGTTCAACAAATCCCAGAATCATGCATTGTTACAAGTGTTTACGATTACTCAGTTATTATAATCCCTAAATACCTCTATCTAATAAGTCTTGAAAATAATATATAAGTAAAACTAATTATTTACCTTAGACTACCAAAAGAAATTCATTAATATAGTACATCCTTAGCACATTACATCTAGCCATATTTTTATTTTTACTCGTTTTAATCTTACGATAAAATATTTACAAGGTTTGACCGTCAAAATATACACTGGAAATCAAGAATAACCTTGAACGTAGACGTTAGAAAAATATAATTCATCGAATCGCTCAACAAAACGCTCCGTCATGACTGGGGTTAACGGGCAAACGTTAAATATATCGGAACATCGACCCACGGATTACACATGAGCATTACATTACTGTGGTAGAAGCGCTATGTCCGGGGACTGAGTTTGGCTACAGAAGGGCTGACACGTCCCACAACTTGATGAGTTTGTCCTGTCCAACGGTCAACAGCCGTTTCCTAGGCTCGTCCAGGTCCATGGAGACGATGCAGTGCTTAGTGTCGTGGAAGGTAGCTAGAGGAGTGCGGCTGCAAACAGAAAACTGGGTTGAATATCAGCTATCTTGTAGTCAAACAAAGTGTGAGAATATTTTAACCAATCAGTCAGTTATGTGTATAAATTAAATATATGTGTCAGTTGGTTTCAATAAATGTGCTGGATAGTTGTGTTAAGATCAGCTCAAAAAGATTAAAGCTTAGAGAGCAAAGAGATTAAACCCACACATACATACAGTGGCGGTTCTAGGACCTTGTCAAGGAGGGGGCCACCGGGGGGCTTGGGGGGTGTGGAGCACCCCCTAATAAAGCAGGGAGGTTCGGGAGTCAGGGAAAATTTGGAGTTTTCGAAGCCATTTGGTGACTTTATAAAGCCATTTTTAACACCTACAACTGGTCCCAATTGTCCATAAACTTCCATTTCACCTGTTGTTTGTCATGAGCAAGTAGACATTTTAAAAATTAAACTATGACGATTGCGTTAATGGATTTCAAAACACACTGTAGCCTACGGTCATATCCTCCTAAAAGCCGTTTACTTTCTAAAGCTATTTTTAATGTCTAGAACTGTGTGCAAAACCTCCAATTTCCCCATTTATTTGTCATGAATAAGTAGACATTTATTTTTTAAACTAACTATGACGAATGCATTCATAAATCTCAAAACATATTGTAGGCTACACCATATCTTGCTAAAAGCTGTTTACTGACTTTCTAAAGCCATTATTAATTTCTATATCTGTGCCCTACTGTACATAAACCTCCCATTTCACCTGTTATTTGTCTTTGTCATGGGCAAGTAGACATTTTAAAAAGTAAACTGTGACGAACTTGCATTCATGAATTTCAAAACATATGCCTACTTTAGACTACGAAGCCATATCTCCTAAGCAGTTTGGTGACTTTATAAAGCCATTTTAACGTCTAGAACTGAACCCAATTGTTGTAAAACCTCCCATTTCACCTGTTATATGTCATGCAAGCAAGTAGACAGTAGACACGTTTTTGAACCTTACGTTTTTCTCCATTTCATAGATATGTCACAATATACTGTATATAGTATCAAATTTAGTAATAGCATTGACTATATAAACTTATATAGTCAATGGTAATAGACTACTGTGATAAAAGTAATAAGACTGCTGTAATTAAAACTGATCATACAAATAAAGGTGTTCGTTCTATAGCCATCCCTGTGGGGCGTATAGGTAATAGACTACTGGTGCTACCGCTGATGGCTGATGCCTGTGTAAATTAGAAACTAGCAAACAATTTGACAACTAGGAACATGAAATCAGCTGTTTCCCCGTCCTCGCTGTCGCAGTCGCCTTTGCCCTAACATGTACATTATTAAAGTATTACAGCTGACTGCATAACAATTGGATGATGCGTACAACTTTCCATAGCGTATATTGGTTTAATCGTCGTGCTAATGCCCCACAAAGTTTATCTATGTGGAACTTAATACTAATACTAATCCTGCCATCGCTTATTTAGTTTAATAAAAAATACATTGATGTCTGTTTTAAGACATTGCGTGTTTTAGGGATGAAATGTATGTTTAAATTTTTTTTCAGTGCCCAAGGGGAGAGAGCTTTAGCTCCTATAGCTTGGAACCGCCACTGCATACATAGCTTAACAAGCTACCTGTTCAGCCTATTTGAGTTTTATGGAGGTAGTTTTATACAACCAAGGTTTTCAAGTGTTCTCTAGACGGTTCCCGTGACAGTACTCAATAAGTACAAATTAGTCACAGGTCTGTTTCCGTCTATGATAATTCTATTTGTTTTTTTTTTTTTTTGTTAACAGCGAGCATGGCTCGTACAATACAAACGAGAGTGGCTTTGTATTTGTGGAAATAGAAACCCCTAGACAATGTCCAAGTGACCGACTATTGTTGCAATGGAATTTTCTCGACAATAGCATCTTCAAGATCATGACACAAGGAGCACCAAAACTTTGGTTGTAGTTACAACTATTCTTGAACTGGGAAGAAAATAAAAAGGTAAATAAACCACTATATTTTGTCTTTCCAGTTCAGTGGCAAGCCACAACAATGAGGAAAAATTATCTTTTATTCATTATGATTGCCTTCTGAACTGTTATTAGCAGAAAATCTACGTTACTAACCCACACACTGTCTACTACGTGTGCTGTGTACTACGTGTGCACTGTCTTCACAGTTTAAACATTATTTTTGATGGCAATGAACATTTTAGAGCATAGAGCTTCACCATCAGGTTTGGATCGAGAAGATTTATTGGGTAACAGGTCAAAAATCGAAAATAACAAAAAGATTTTTAACGGCAGATAAGAATCAATTTGCAAGTAGACTTCCTCATCAGTCGAGGTCTACAAAAACACTTGTTCTAAATGGATCTGTGTAGTAAAGTGTTTTTGACCTTAGGTGCGCTGTTTTGGCGTGTCCTAGAGGAATAAAACTTTTGTATCCCAACCTGATGATGAAGCTTTGAAATGTACATATTCATCATCGACTGTTAGAACTGTGAAGACGGGTAAAGATGTTAACCTCGGCTATTCTAATTTTAAATAGGCCAATTTTAGCATAAGTTTAAAATTATTTAAACTAAAATCACACTCACTCAGCGTCGCGTAGCTGTATGTGGCAAGGGTCACACACACGGACAGGCAGCTCAAAGCCCATGGTAGGTATAGTCACTGCGCGACTAGAGCATCTGTCACACACTGCGCGACCACACGCCCGACAGTGATGTTGTCGGAACCCCAGCTGCTTCTGGTCCATCATGGCCCGGATGTTCCAAAAAAAGGGTCGTCCACACAGCTGACATGTATCCGACTCCACCCACTCTGGTGTCTATGGGATGAAAATAGTTTTGTTAAACAAGATCAAAAGCTTAGCAACTACTAGATTAAACATTACTAGGTTGATACAGTAATGGTGATCGAATTCATATTTCCTATAATCAAAGATACTATTTTTGAATCAATAACCTACCTCTTGAACAAAATATTATTTTTAACCGGCTGTTAGTGATATTGCACTTAAAATATTACAGTTTGCTGCTAGACTAAAAAAATTTAACAGTGCTATACCAATTTATAATTTTTCTCTGTTGACTTACCATCGATTATGGCAATACAAATAAGACATACCCATATAATATAAACAAATTAACTTTGCATTAATTTTTTTTTTAACTCTGTTTTAATATTTACAGCTGTTAGTCGAAAGGTAAATAACAAAACAAATTTAAAATGTTAGCGTCAGCTGTTGGACTTTTTAAAAATTTAAGACATTTCTAATAAACTGAAATCCCAAAATTTAAATTATGGCTTCGAAATTCCCTCTCAATATTATCTTTCTTTTAATAGAAGAATCCAGCAAATCCATCAATTGGATTGCAATTCACTTACTGCAACTCTGTGATCAATGACATGACTGTAAGTCTTGCTGGTTTGCTGCAACGCTCGCAGAACTTTGCTTGCGATTTTCATTTAAGACACTTTGAACACATTACACCTTTCTACATTGAATCAAAAATATTTAAGTTGAACGATCAGAGGCTACTTAAAATAACCATGTTAGCATTTTCAATTTACAAAAATAAGATTGCCAAAATATTTTGAAGGAGACTTCAGCTTTGTAGCCGAAGGTAGCTTGAGGAGTTCACGCACTGCATCTTTCACGTTACGCATGCCTCATCATAGGAGTACAGCATAATGACAGGGCCTTTGTTGTAATTGCTTGCCGTGTTTGGAACAACTTACCTTTATCAATTAAATTGCTTGATGGTGGTCCTCGGTTCGTGACGGCACTGAAAAAATTTACTTTGAGCGTATGGCCTCGGCTGGTGCGTCCTAGGACTGTTTAGGTGCTTGCGTAATTGCTGACTGACTGTGTGAGAGTTTTTTTGTTAGACATTTTATTTTCGTTTTATCAAAAAGTTTTGATTTTGTGTAAATAATGTGTTAAATTGTGTAATCTATTTCATATTTATAATTATGTATGCAGGTTAGGTGTAAGAAAGGGCCATGTGGCCCTAACTTTGCCGGTTGAAATAAAGGATTTTAATATAATTTAATCTAATTTCAATTGGTTGATTCAGAATTTTTGAATAAAATCCCCTGTTTTGTGTAAATTCTCAATACCGTACCAATTGAGACTGAGACAACACTGGGAGTATTCCAACCCAAATTTGAGTGAAGGATGAGTGTGGAATGAAGTGGTGGGCTCTGTGCAGCTTTGTTACTGGCTAAGTAGGCGATTCGTTATCAACACATTTATTACTTTAAAATTTACAGGGAATTTACAGGAATCAATGTAATAAAAAATGTTGCAACACAATGATTATCAAGAGCCTGATGTATATATAATCAGCACAATTTTGACATATTCAAAGTGTTCCGGAACTCTCTACTAATATTTTATTAGGGCTTTGTTCCTGGGTAAGAAACATATCTAAATATTATATTTAAATAGTCCGGAAGTCCTTAGTTACTCACACAGCCGCCATTTTGTTTTATTCACTTACTAATTTTTTCTGAAAAGTGGTTGAACATACGAAAACAACAACTAGACAAAGCTAAACAAAAAATATGAAAATTTTCCAAATTTATAAATCAAAATGGCGGCCATTTACAATTTTGGTTCTTAAATAACTCAATATCTGTTAAATTTACAAAATTTTACAACAATAACTTTTTAAAGCAATTTAATTACATATTTGTTGATTGGACGAATATTAACTGAGATATGGCAGCTTTAGTGATACGTGACCGCTGGAGGTTAGTTGCAGTGCATGCCGAGGGATGCGGTCACGTTTCACTAAACCTGCCATATTTCAGTTAATATTAGTCCAATCTAAAAAATAAGGAGTCAATTGATTTGTAATTAAATTGCCTTAAAAAATTTCTTCTTGTAAAATTTTTGTAAAATCAAAAGTTTTGAAGTTATTAAAGAAACAATATTTTAAATGGCCGCTATTTTGTTTAATGAATTTGGAAAATTGTCATTATTTTTTTGTAGCTTTGTCTAGTTGTCATAAATGTTTGTGCAAAGTTTCATTTTTGTATGTTTAACCACTTTTCCAAAAAAAATTAATAAGTGAATAAAACAAAATGGCGGCTGTGTGAGTAACTAAGGACTTCCGGACTATTTAAATATGATATTTAGATATGTTTCTTCCCAGGAAAAATGCCCTCAAATATTGGTAGAGAGTTCCGGGACACCCTGTATATTACAGCTTAAATATGCAGTACCTCTTTCCTCTCAGCTGTCATATCCCAAAACACCAAAGTACAGTCTTCTCCCCCAGAAATCAGCTGTTGCTTCAATGGACAATAGTTGAGGGCTGTCACTTTATTGCTGCAAAAAAATAAAATTCATAAAAATCACCAAACATAATATTTAATCCGGATTTTGATTGATAATTTATATATTTTTTTAATTAGTCCCATTGAATTTCTCTCACCCTCCCGTGTTACACAACACTTTATAATACTTCCCCCTATACTATGTATAGGGAAAGAAAATAAAACTTCAAGAAAATGTTATTTCTAGTCTCCTCTAACATACGCTCTAAGCAAGTACTCTTGGTATAACAATTGCTAAGAAAAACTATGACTACAGCTGGCCAATTTCCATTAGTATCCAAAGTGAATGGTTTGACGTACTGATGCCCTTGGAGCTCATAAGCATTGCCTTGCTGGCCTCCGATGTCCCAACAGATGACAATCTGGTCAAAGCTGCCCGAGTAAAGTCTTTGTCTCTGAGGGTCCCAGGCTAGAGTACGGATACTGCCAGTGTGTCCCTACAACACAGAACAATGTCTTATAAGTGTAGATTACCAGGAGTACAAATCCACGAACACCACACATAATCTCTTTCTTTCTTTGTGCTTTTCTGTAGGCTTGACTAGTTGCTGTGCAGCCTAGAATGTTTCTGCAATATGGGCCCATGTCTTGGACATGTGGACTACCAGGCCTAGTACAATAATCAACAATACAAAACCTCAGAGACCAAACATACTCTTAACAACATAATCTCTTTCTTTATTGTTTGATTTTCAGCAGGCATGACTAGTTGTCATGTAGTGTAGATCGTAGAATAATGTACAAATTGGCTAAACATATCTAGATAATCTATAATCAAGTCATGTCCGCCATGTTACCTGTGTCGGTTTGTCCCGTGTATCAATGTGGCCGGCCTATCATCTTTAAATGTATTTAAATTGTGTTTTTAATTGAGAACTTAATTTGTTTAATTGTATTTACGGAAAGTAAATAAAAGAAACTTCTTATAACACTTAAAACATACATTTACGCTTATACTGTTACAGTAGAGTCCCGCAAACTCTGCGTAATGTGGACTGGAAGGGTGCCGAGTTTGTGAAATGCCGGGTTATCGGGAACTACAGTTAAAAAGTGAGAACAATTAAATTTTTAAGCATTTTAACTGCCTCTTTTATTTATATTTATATATTACAAGTTAGTAGTAAGTCATCAGATATAGTACGACATATCCTTGGTACGAGCTGCGAATTGTAACGAGTTATTTTTCCTAGGGGGGTAAATATTTGCTATTTGGCCGTGCACCTATTGATGGCATCAGCAAGCGGCGGCGGCGAAGCTAGCGAGCGCCCTTTGACCCGGCTTATCAGTGTTGATAAGCCTGGGATATCCTAGTTTCTCAGGATAGCTTAGGGCGGACATTCGAGTCGTGGATCCCGGACAGTGAGGATAGTGTGGTGTCTTGTAGAGACGACTGGGTGGTGTACGGAGAGAGGAGTGAACGAGGTTGACAGTGGTGTCGGAGAACGTTGGTGGTGTGATCGCGCCGAGTGTTGGTGTAAGTTGGGTACAGACCCACTATCGGTGAGTGGACGACGTTCCTTACTTTTTGGTTTAAGAGTTGAAAGTTGTTACTAAAACATTCATCTCTGATTTGATTGCGAGAGTTAGAGTTGTAACCGTGCTGGTCAAAGCCTGACGGTAGTTAGGATTTATTTATTAGTCAGGAATAATATCAAAGTATATTTCTGACGGTTCTGGGCAGGTGCTAGAGCGCAAATAATTTATTTTATTGACGGTAGTAGATGTTATTTTGCGTTGTACCAAGAGTTAATTACATTACTAATAACTCTGAGGCCCGAAAAACCTAGGCTGCACGATTTAGCGTGCGTAGTTGGAAGCACGTGGCCAGTAGGCTAGTAGCTAATATTATTAGCCTATTAACAGAAGCCCAGCTAGCTAATATTAAGTTGGTAGTAGTAGTAGCAGTAGTAGGGTTGTTATTGTTTAATCATTTAATTATTTTAATTTAACCTGAACAGCTTGTTTAGTAATCCAACACGTTATCTCAGTAGCTTGGATAGCGGAGTACCGGCTATCAGATAATATATTTATCTAGTGTTTGGAACGTATTTAATATTTATTTACCTGCTACTAAGTAACTCAATAATTTGATAGTAGTGCGATTGGCATTTAGCTTCGCTTGTTTGGCTTGGTATTTATTGAGACCAGCTTTTAGAGGTGTAGTCACTCTGCCGTTAGTGCACTTGTATTATTATATGGTAGTGTTATTGAGTAAATTGTCTGATTCTTAGCTTGGGCATTAGAGTTGTGCATTGGATTATAGTGGCCTAGTAGACCCCGCCTGGTGATAACTCGCGTTGTGGTTGTTATTGGCAAGCCGTCGTGTAACTCACTGTGTTTTAGGCACTCTGGGCTTAACTATTGGATAGTTAGGACGGAACCCGAGTTGCGTAGTCAGCAACGACCCCCTAGGAGTGTGGAGAATCGGCGTAGGCCTGGTAGTGATTATTGCACGTTTGTTTTGGTGACTTGTTTTGACTTGTTCACAGTGCCCGTGTATGAGCCAGTCCTATACCGGTTAGACCCGGCTATTGGCCTAGTGGTTTCCCTGACCTTATCGCAGACCCTGGAATTTTACCCAGCCATTGTAGGCTGAGCTATCCCCGGCAAACGGTTGCGACTGCACTTTTAATTTTTTTTCCAGTGCATTGTAGGTAGCGTAGCAGAATGATTTGACTTGAGCTAGCTTGAGTCCATGTTTAACTAGGACTTAAAAATCACTAATTTTCTGAGCCAGGTGATGGCCGAGTTATCCAGACTGCCGGGTTATCGAGTGCCGAGTTTGTGGGACTCGACTGTACTCACAAGACAATAAGCGAATCGTTCGCTTATTGGGTCTGATGATGATCGGAGTGTCCAATCGAAATCGATCACCACTTATCATCTTTTTTGTATATTTACCGTCTCGTGAGTAACAGTATAAGCGTAAATATATGCTTTAAGTGTTATAAGACATTTCTTTTATTTACTTTCCGTAAATTTAATAACGGGTACAGTACCGGTACAGTAATGCTAATCAAGAAGTTATTTAATTGTATTTACGTGTTGATGTAGACTTCCGTCGGATTTATAACTAACTCCAATTTGATGTTGACAAGGATTTGATAACGGGTCCTTGACCCGAAACTAGTCATCCCTAGACTAATTTAAGAGTGAAGATGGACTAAGGTACGTAACCTATTATATACTTGATTAGACATCAACCTCGGTCAAAATTTGTATTTAATAATACTCCTGGAGAGTCTTGTTATCGAGGTTACACTGTACCCAAGATTACTTAGTGTCTGATGGCTGCTTCTTGTTAAAGAAACAAGATACCACTTTTGATGAGAGCCAGAGCCAGTACTAATTATTAGAGTAATTTTAACACACTACTACAATAACAATTTCAAATCACTTCTTGCAAAATAATTTCTGAAAGAGGCATGTAAAACTTTCTGTTTCTAGAATAAGATTACTGTGTACTAGTCTTGACATGTTCAAGGTTACTCCCCACATTCAGGGTCAGATTCAGATGGAAAGTGTCCACAATAATTCTTAAACAGTTCATAAACTAAGAAAACTTGATGATCTAACTCACTTTAAGAGAAGAAAACTTGATAATCTAACTCACTTTAAGGGAGGTGATGATTTGACAGCCGGCATTGCTCAGTTTCAGCATTGTGATAACTCCACTGTAGTCTCCTACGAATGCGTGCTTTGATGGAGCGTCAAAACTGAGAAAGTGTTAAGGGAACTAGAAACAGGTTGATTTATACAAATGTCATGTTATCTCTTGTGAGAATACAAAGTGTCTTAGTAAATTCTGGAAAAATCAGTAATCAAAATATGCATAGTTATCAACCCTGTCATTAAAATTTACAAACTATGGACTCATAATACCTTTAAATGCTTAAGTTGTTGCTTTGACACTAAAAATGATTGTTACTTGACTTTGTTTTGTTCAATGAAAGGCTCGATTCCAGGATTTTGAATTGTAGAGAAAGGAGGATAGTGACCAGCTTACCTAGAAGAAGTTTAGGTAGGCTATAGGACATACAGAAGAGATACTGTGCACACAATTTTTCGTTTGCTGAAGGACTTATTCAAAGTGTAGAGTTTGTATGGTTGTTGTAATATGGTTTGTAATCTCTACCACTTTCTCTACACTAAGTCCCTCAGGGAACGAAATATTGTGTGCACAGTGTCTCTTATGTATGTTCTATGGCCTACCTACACTTCTTCTAGGTAAGCTAGCTGCTATCCTCCTGTTATTTGAGTTAGTCATGGGGCTATTGATTGACAATACTTTCCAACAGCATAATTTTTTTGTTTCATTTTCTAAACAACACTCGACTCGTATTATTATGAAGGAATGAATGGGTACACATTACACAACAAACTCACTGAAACGAGTTTCAAGGCAGTTGATAACAAATAAGAAGTTCACAACACAAACTTGCTATTTTGCCCCTGTAAGAGGACTTCTTTGGGGAAACATTGTAAGGCTATTTATCTAGGAGGTAAATTTGTTTTAACCTACAGTCTACAACTAGAGAAGCTGCCTTGTACAGGAGAAATATCAACTTGTTTTTGCTACCAACTGCCAAAACTCTTTTCTTTATGGAGTTCTTTGATTAGTTGCATATGTTCCTTCCTCTTCGCATGCACTTTTAGCAGGTTGGGGTTTCATAAAGCAAAACGAGGTTTTGACCCAACCTTTTAAAAAAATTTTGACTGAGTTTGAATTTACAAAAAATATATAAACATGAATATGAAACGGAATGTGTTTTTAGCCTCTGGGGACCTCAAAACAAAAAAATTTAGTCCCGGGGCAAGGTCTTACTATGAGACCTACGGTAATAGCTTATTCCCAACCTGGGAAGTTCGCTAAAAACATAACATGTTGTAAAGGATACACAAGGGCTGTGCACCAAGCGTTGCTGATGAAGTTGCCGAGTTGTCTGCCAGTCTCAGAACAATGGAACTGGAACATCTTGTCCCTACTGATGCTCAACACCCACTCTAGGGTGAGAGCGTAGTGTACTGCAGTCACTCGGCCTTGGTGAGCCAGTACATCTCTCACTGACGACATCCGGTTTAAGTCCTCCTCCAGCAAATATTGCTGAAAATATAGAAAAGTTAAAAACTATTTAAAGGTGCTCCATGCAGACATTCTGTTCACATTAGACTCACTCGGCCAGTTGGTGTGAACAAAAGCTTGAACACCAATATTGAACTCCCTTCCTAACTGACATGAGTTAGCCGATATTTTGCAAACGTCAGCAAGTCGCAGTAAACATTGGCAATTTTCGGGATGATGTTGTATAAAACATTTAAGATAACGACATTTACATGAATGGTGGTGAACATAGCAACACCATAAATATCGGTAAAGGTTATTATAAACGCAAACGTTAGCCGAGGTAGTAAAATGTCTCCATTGTTTCAATACACTAAAATTTTGTACAAAGCAGGTTGCCATCGTCTAGTGTGGTTTTGGTGACATTTTCATCTACCCCATACACTGGAACATTGTTTTGATTTTTGTGATTGTGGCCATAACTCCAAAATCTTTTACGACCGTAGCTTCATAAACGTCAACTATGATCATTAAAATTTTACCATCACTATGCCGACTTAAAAATCTGCTTGAAAATTTGAATCGAGGTCCTGACTAGTTTTGTTACAAGCTTTGACAATGTTGCGCTTGCAGCGAAACTAGTTAACACCTAGTTGATAGAAGTTTCTGACTACGGACTGGGGTAAGATAGCCTAATGTGTCATATTGCTCATCTTGTCTAAAATTGTTCAAAATGGCTAATTATGGTAGGTTGGATCCACTTACAGTGATTGTGCCATTGTCTTGCCCAACGAACATCTGTCTAGTCTCAGGGCAGTAGAAGACGCAAGTAGCTGCCACAGGCATGTAAGCGCAGATACTGGGCCAATACTGTCCCGAGTCCCTCTTCAACCACACCCGTACAGTCCTGCAATAGCGGCAGTGTTAGCAAACCAAACAGCAAAGGACATCAAATGGCACTAAAGAAATAGAAATAAATTATAACTATCAGCAATCTGACATACTTTCTTCCATTAGCTTGTCAACAGCCCTTATGGGTGTAATTATGATATTTTAGGGGGAAAATTACAACAATTGCAAACACTTTTGAACCCCAATTTTTACAGCAATGGTGGTTGTACCATTTTTTTATAGATAGAAAGACTATGATAAAATACTAGATTTGAAACAGAATCGTTAGAGCTGTTTTTATGAAAATCAAATTATTACGTTAGGCTATTTTATGGATTTTTATGGGGAAATCAGCTTAAATATCGAAATTTTCCAAAACATGAAAAACGCTAGGAGATAATAAGTTAACTTCTGTAATTTGCCTATCAGGTCGTTCATATAAAACATTGCTAGAACCAGGTATTTTTTTCGCAATCCAGAGTCTATTCATACTACAATAAAACATTAAAATCAGATTTTACCAGTGATTACAGGTTTAACTTTAACCAGATGTAAACTATGATCCATGTTTCATTATAGGAAATTGTAAGCCCTGCAACCGCTTTAGCCACTTGTAGGGCTTGCAGGGTTGTTTAGCTGTTGAATAACGCTTTAGACCATCTTGACACTCAAGTTCAACATTTAAGAAAACAAAAGAATTAAATTATATTTTTGAAAATCATTATTTCATTTTCATAACTTTTTTTAAGTGATAAAACATTCTTCTCTTATTCTTCTCAAAAATTTAAATTTTAAAAATAGAAAAAATATCAGGCTAATAAACAAGCAAAATTTAAGAATGGGAATGAATAAAAGTAAACTGTAGGCCTACTTTGTTTTCTATTTGTGAAGAATACAGGATGTATCTAATAATTTTTTTTAAATTAGTTTTCACTGGTTTTTTATTAACGGCTATTTGATTTTTTTTCCATTAATATGCTGTACAAAATTTAGACTATCAAGTTTGTTTGCAATTTATAAAAGTGTGGTGTGCTGGCTAGATTGAGAAAGCGCTGGAATTGAATGGTGGCAATGTCTCATCTGTTTAAGTACCGTAAAGAAATATGCAACAATTCATTATAAACTGGGCGAAGCCTATTTAAGTTATATGGGAAGTGATACTTTAAAATAATGATAAATTACTAGGTCATTCTGTAGGCTGCTGAGACAAAAAAATATTTAGCAATATTGAATATAAGAAGCTCTCTCTAATCAGAGTGCCCACTTTGACAGAAAACACAAATATTTTGACAAAAAAAAATGTGATTTTTTACTGTAAGCATTACTTGCCTTGGAAAAAAATTAAGGCCAAGAGTATCTAAAAGCAAAAGCAATCAAGTGAGATTTGTTTACAAATTGTGTTCCGTTCAGCATTAACAGCAATGGTGTCTTGCGATAAAAAAGTGAATAACCAACAATAAATATTGACAACCAACAATATTGGTTGGAGGCTAACTTTGACAACCAACTTTGATAGTGAGATGTGTGTAGAACAATAATAAAACAAGTTGCCAGTTATATAAGTCATGTAACATTTTGTCATTGAGAGACATTGCTCTCTCATGTAGCCTACTGTACTAAAGAAAATTCACCTTCCCGAAGACACTTTCTAGGGGTTCCCTTATTTTGAATTAACCAAACTGGGGCACAGAGTTGGAGGGGGAGGGGGGACCTAGCTAGGCTACTTGGGACAGATTATAAATTAAGAATATAAGTTATTGAATGGTATTTTTTCTTCAAACATTGAATTTTGCCAAAAATGATATCACAACTCCTAGCCCTTATTGTGATTGTTTCTTAACAACCGGTAGGCCTACAGTAAAATCTCACTAATTTTCAACAATTATTTGTGAACCCTGTAACAACCCATCGATGTATAATACTCCCTGGATTGCGTGCTCAGGTTGAAGTAGGGCTCGAAAAACGGTCCGTCGCTACCTCGCTTGCGACGCGATTTTCTGCACTGGAAAAAAAATATTAAAAGTGCGTGCAGTCGCAACCGTTTGCCGGGGATAGCTCAGCCTACAATGGCTGGGTAAAGTTCCAGGGTCTGAGATAAGGTCAGGGAAACCACTAGGCCTAAAGCCGGGTCTAACCGGTATAGGACTGGCTCATACACGGGCACTGTGAACAAGTCAAAAACAAGTCACCAAAACAAACGTGCAATAATCACTACCAGGCCTACGCCGATTCTCCACACTCCTAGGGGGTCGTTGCTGACTACGCAACTCGGGCTTCGTCCTAACTATCCAATAGTTAAGCCCAGAGTGCCTAAAACACGGTGAGTTACACGACGACTTGCCAATAAAAACCACAACGCGAGTTATCACCAGGCGGGGTCTACTAGGCCACTAAACTGCAATACACAACTCTAATGCCCAAGCTAAGAATCAACCAGTTTACTCAATAATAATACCGTATAATAATACAAGTGCACTAAAGGCAGAGTGACTACACCACTAGTAGCTGGTCTCAATAAATACCAAGCTAAACAAGCAAAACTAGATGTCAATTGCACTACTATTAAATTATTGAGCTACTTAGTAATAGATAAATAAATATTAAATACGTTCCAAACACTAGATAAATATATTATCTGATAGCCGGTACTCCGCTATCCAAGCTACCAAGATAACGTGTTGGATTACCAAACAAGCTGTTCAGGTTAAATTAAAATAATCAAATGAGTAAACAATAACAACCCTACTACTGCTACTGCTACTACCAACTTTATGTTACTTAGCTGGGCTTCTGTTAATAGGCTAATAATATTAGCTAGAGATATAAAGTCAATGCTACTAGCCTACTGGCCACGTGTTTCCAACTACGCACGCTAAATCGTGCAGCCTAGGTTTGTCGGGCCTCAGAGTTATTAGTAATATAACTAACTCTTGGTACAACGCAAAATAATAACTACTACAGTAAATAAATTATATTATTTGCGCTCTAGCACCTGCCCAGAACCGTCAGGAATATACTTTTTATTCCTGACACCCGTAAATAAATCCTAACTACCGTCAGGCTTTGACCAGCATGGTTACAACTCTAACTCTCTAACTCTCTTAAACCAAAATATAATAAAACGTCGTCCACTCACCGATAGTGGGTCTGTACCCAACTTACACCAACACTCGGCGCGATCACACCACCAACGTTCTCCGACACCACTGTCACACCTCGTACACTCTGTACCACCAACGTACGCCAGCCGTCTCCACAGGACACCAACACTCACTTCCTCACTCTTTGGGATCCACCACTAGAATGTCCGTTCTAGCTATCCTGAAAATCTAGGATATCCCAGGCTTATCGGCACTGATAAGCCGGGTCAAAGGGCGCTCGCTTGCCTCGCTGCCGCCACTCGCTCACCTCAACAATCGGTGCGCGGCCAAATAGCAAATATTTACCCCCCTAGGAAAATAACTCGTTACACGCTCTGTCCGCGAGGAGTGGGGATAAAGGCATGACTCACCCTAGTGCCGAGCAACGCGCCCGCTCTTGCCTTTTATTGCTATGTTAGTTTTGTGGAAATATTCCGAGTATAATTGATTGTAACGAACTTAAGGAGGTTTTATAAACAGATATAATTAATTTAAAAGTCAAAAGTAAATCTCATAAGAAATGTAGTGGTGATATACAAGAGTTAGATTTAATTATATTTGAACATTAACCAGAGCAAAGTATATCACAATAATTATTTGATCACATATGCATGTCATCATTTGCTTTGGTGAGGCCCAATTATTATTGAGAGACTTTGCATCATTTAAGAATATATATTTTGTTTATATTATAGTCTGTTTTTTTGTCATACTGTGATTAACGTGTTTGGAAAACATATTGCTAAATAAAATAAGTATATAGGCCTAATATTTAATGCCAATATCTCAAATGTATTCATTATTCTCACTGAAGTAAAATAATAACAAAATATTTTCTTAGGTATTAAATACTACTGTGAAAAAAAACATTTATTCTTTGATTCAAAGAATTTTGTTAACTTTAGACTACCGGTAAGCATTAAAATGCATAAAATACGCCTGTAAATTTAGTTACCATTCTTCGTAATGTAATGACATATTTGATGTAATATAATGATAATTAAATGCAAGAAACTCAGTTTCTATATCCTGTAAACTGATGCTGAGCCGGCCGAGCTCCTAGCGCCAATGCCGCGCCAAGCGATTTTATGCCTATTTTTAATCGCTTAAAAATGATACAAGCAGGCTCTGTATCAAAAAAGCTTCAAATAAAAAATAAAATTCATTCTTTGATCTAAAACTTTGCCGCAGGAATTTTTTTCCTGACCAAAAAAGAAAAAAGTTCCTTGCTTACTACATTTTTCATGTTTTTAATGGTGTTAAAAAACAATCAACTGTTTTAATTTGCCTAGATAAATTATAAAGAATATGTTAAGGTAAAAACTAGCTACATAGTAATGAGCACTGGTTTTTCCAGAAAAATAATATATCAATTTGAAATTTTTATGTTAACAAATAAGTGTAGCAGAGCAGGTTGAGTGAATGTAGCCTATGTTTGTGTAAAACAGAGAGGTTCATTCGGCCCGTCCGCCTCGGTATCCCGCCAATTCGATTGGCGGGCACGGACTGTTTTTCCACCACACAGCACGCTATCCAGTAGGGTTATTCGAGTTTGGGGGTTGTCGAATTATCCAGAACATTGACATTTTTAAGGGGTTTTGATGAATGAATACATAACAAACAATTTTTTACTTTCCCCCCCTATACCATAGTAGGCCAATATGGTGATAGTATTGTTTACGTCAAAATTTTGAGTTTGAGTTTTGAGTGGATACATCCGTTTTGGGTCCCCCTGTACCCAAAGAAGTGGTTTTCAAAGTGATGTCCTTGTGTCTGTGTGTGGTTGTGTACAGAGCTACAGACTACACCTGTGGTCCGATTTTGATAAAATTTGGTATGTAGGTACTAATCTCCAGGCGTTTTTATTTTTTATTTTTTGAAGTTTTAATTTTTAATGTTGACTGTCCCATAAAAAACCATAAAATAACGGAAAATAGAATTTTCTCAAAAATGGCCAGAGCGATTTTGATAAAAATGTAGTAGGCTATGTTATAGCCCTTTAAATTCTGAACAAAATGGTAGAACTCCCATTTCTGTAAAAATTACGGTTCAAAAGTTATTGTAAATGATGTTATTTTCCCATAAAAACCCCATAAAATAAGAGAAAATCGTCTTTTCAAAAGAAACCGGTTTTGATTGAAATTAGTAGCCTATGTGATAATCCTTAAAATTCCAAACAACATAGTGCAACTCCTCATTGCTGTAAAAGTTATAGGTAGTTCAAAATGTATTGTAACTTATGTTATTTCCCCATAAAAACCCATTCAAAAAAAGGAAAAATCTATTTAAAAAAAACCGATTCTGGTTGAAATTCTTCTGTTATGGTCCTTATAATTCTAAACAAAATAGTGCATCCCTTCATTCCTGTTAAAATTACTACGACGGCCCTTAAGGGACATTCAGCTTCTTTTTTGTTTATCATTCACTTCGACTTTATTCTCAAACTACTTCGACTTTCTCGAAGTAGTCTAACTTCAACACACACAACTTAATTCTCTCGGTTTCTGTCAATGTCAATTTTTCAAGTGTCCGCTCACTTATGAAAATGTTATCTATATATATAAAAGGCAAAGCCCTCACTGACTGACTGACTGACTGACTCACTCACTCACTCCACACTAATTCTCCCACTTCCCATTTACCTAGGATGCTGAAATTCGGTACACCGATTCTTTGGGCATTAAATAGGAGAACTAAGTAGTTTTTATTCTGATTGAATTGAATTGAAAATGTCTTTATTCATATAATATACAGTGGTATACATCGAATGGCGTCATTATGCTAAATTACAGCTAACAAATTAATTTCATTACATTTCCTCCATGAGCCATAATGATCGGGCTTTCGGGCTCCGCCCCAGTGGCTCTGAAGTTTCCCATGTTAACCTTATGAGTGCTCATATTTAAATGGAATTAAAGAATCTTAACAGCTGGTGCAACTAAACAATTTGATTCTGTGATGTTCGATAGCATTAAAGTTACAAGGATTAGCCTACCGACAGGGTGCAGCACTATTATTTTTTTTAATTTATGACAACAGCTAATTTGCAACCATAAGGTGAGTGAGCGTAGCGAAAGAACTTCAACCTAGAGGCGAGTTAGCGTAGCGAACGAGATAGCCTGAAGGCAAGTGAGCGCAGCAAACGAGCTCCAACCTAAAGGTGAGTGAGCGTAGCAAACAAACTTCAACCAGGACGTGATTGAGCCATGCGAATACCTATGAAGTTAAACGGGGCAAAGCCTGCGAGTACAGCTAGTGCTTCAATAAAAAAATTGCAAGTATTTCAGGCTGAAGGCATAAACTAAAATATTGTTCCATATCAGTTCATTAATGTCATATTCCATGAAGTGTGCTAATAAACACTTTCTATCTGCCAATTCTGATTAAAAAATCGAAGGCAATTAAATTACATTTAACTTATTTAATAAATTAATATGGTATATTTAAAAGAAACACCCAACATCAACAGTTAATTGTGGTTGTGGTTGCAGTAAAATTATGACAAACTAGGGTATAATATTTAAGCACTTTGAGGATAAAGTCGAGGTACTTCGAGAATAATGAAGAACTTCAAGAATAAAGTCGTCGAATTACTTTGAGATAAAAGTCGAATTGAATGAAAAACAGAAAGAAACTGAATGTCCCTTCAGGGCTGTCGTAGATTACTGTTCAAAAGTTAATGAAACTTTTGTGATTTTACCTATTAAATATCATAGTTACTCTCATCACTTACTCATGATAAGTTAAAGGTTGTTGACAAGCTAATGGGAGAAAGTATGTGTCAGATTAAAACAGAAAAAAAAACTTTAGTAGAGAGTACAAGAGTTGCATTTTACAGTGATTGCACTACAATATTTGCAAACACAAACATTAATTATTTTATTCCAAAAGTGATGTTAGCCTATACAATTATTTTAATAGAGAGTAAAAAAGATGATATTTCTAACTTTTTGCAGGAGCAAAATTTTGAACGTCAAAATCCGGTAATCTCCGGGGATATGGACACTCTAGTCAATTTGTAATTTTTTAATGTGTTTGAAGATATTAAAACAGAAAGAATGGATTGTAAAGGAAAACAAAAATATTGATATGAAAGAAATCAGATTAATAATAATGAATGTTCCCTTTAACAGGAAAGTAAATTAGGCTACCCTTTCATTTTATAACTAGATTCTAGACATTTCAAAAAATAATCATTTTGCTGTTTCAGATAGGTACCGGTACTGGTCGAGACGCGTAAACTGGTATTTGGGCCTTAAAGTGCGGGTAGTGTAGGTATGGGGAGTGTGGAGACAAGGAAAATACCGAACTAAGTAGGTACTTTAAACATTTCCGCTGACTCACAGGGATGACTCCCCGTGTTTCGTGTACTTGAAAGCCTTCATGGGTCGCAAGGACAGTTGACACAACTTTTATTGCGCCACATAATGATTTAGAACTAGGCTAGTAGCGATCGGTCAAGTGCCAGCTTGTGTCACGAGCTGTTCATAGGCCAAATAAATTACTGTACATCATAAGTTAAGCCTACATATCCAACACAATTGATTCGTTTTTTTCAGAATTTCAATATTTAGATGGTTCAAACTCACAACAAATCTAATTTGTTACTAATTTTATAGGACCTTACATGTCCCATGCTCCCTCACGACACACACCTTACTGTCCAACACTCCTACTGGGCTGCACTTTACGTCCTACACTCATTCGAATGAAACTATCGATTGTTTGATTGTTTCATTCGATATAGCCTATCGTTTGGTTTAGTTAGGTTAGGTTAACCTTACCTAATTAACCAAACGATATAACTTATCGAACAATCGATATATCGATCGATATTTTCATTCAAATGAGTGTAGGACGTAAAGTAAAGTGCAGCCCTCCTACTGCCCTTCTTTGGGACCTAGGCAAGTACATGCATTTGTAGGTGAGTGTCCAGGAAAACCGGGTGGTATAAGTTAGGCACCATAAGCTTGACACAACCCTTTAAGCTAGAGTTAATCATATACATGTTCTTTTTAGGTAGGCTATTATCTGAACCAACTAAGCAAAGACCTGAAAAGCTTCCAGATACCCATTACACCACACCTAGGCATTATTAAAGTTACAGGCTCTTACCATCTCTACATAGAAATTTTTGCTTGGTTGTATGACAATAGTTCTGATATTAACTTACCTATCATCCGAAACACTGATCACCCCATCCTGGCCAGGTATGAGAATTGCTTGGTTTATATCATCGTTGCATCCTTCTAACTTCGACAATAGCACCGGTTTTTTCGTTGTACTGAATCTATCTCCAGCATTTGCTGAACCAGGTTTTATTTCAGCTGCCATTTTATCACTATATCAATATCAAATACTGAAACAATATTATTCTAAAAGATATCTTCTATTCCAGAATGTGAAAGAAAAACAACAACACAGATAAATCCACTTTTCATTGAACGAAGAATAGTGAGCTAACTTGCTAACTAAACTGAACAACTGTCGCCAGCGATGACAACGACAGACAATACAAAACAGAACAGAACAGATGATTATTTTTCAGTTGAGTGAAAATAGTTAGGTCTACGAATGCAAAGTACACACTGACGCTGATTATAAAACCCTGCACTGCACAGTAAACGCGAATTTTCTATCTTTGGACTTAATCATTACAATTAATGACTAAGATTTACTGTATCTACATTGAGATAAGATTTAATTTTTAGATGTCTACTTACAGTATTTTTCACGCTGAATCAAAAAATGCAATCAGTAATTAATTAATTATTGTTGGGTAATGAATTAATTCATCAACCATTGACTTTGAGTGCTGAAGAAAACATCCCATAAATATGCTTCAAGCATCCAATAATACTAATATTATTGCTCACGCTATATCTATTTCACATTGTTACCAGTTCTTATCCATGTCAACTCATCAACACTCTTGTAAAATGGCGTTTGCCGTGCATGTAATAAAAAATATATGGACCAGCTGTAGAAAGGTTGTGTAATCAATCCACTGAGCTTTATCTCAATTAGCCAATCAAATAACAGTATCCACCATGAGGGTCCCACATAGCACAGAATATCCTGAGGATATCCCACAGAGTTCCCAAAACGTCCCAAAATATCCCATGAGTTATAGGAATATCCCTGGGACATTCCTGGCATATTCCCGTTACAATAATTAATTTAATTTTTGTTAGGGTTTTTGATCGAGGGACAGGATTATCTTTGGCATATCCCTAGAATATCCACACGATCTCCTTTTTTCATAATTTATTTGTAAAATCCACTAATAACTCAAGTATTTCTCGAAATATGCTAGAGTGAAAATTTAAAAACGTACGTTTTCATGTCCCTGGCCTTTTACTTCGTAGCTACTGGATTTGTAGTTTATTATTATGTGTTTTAATATTTTTTGGGATGGGGGCAACATGTTACACACATTTATTTGGTTTTAAATAGGTTCTAGGTATTTTTTTCGTATTTTTAAAGTCTCGAAATTCACGACCATGACGTGTCCCTAGGGTACATTTTCCAACTTTCACGCTGTTTTTAGACTAATTATTCATGCAGCAATATATAAAGCCATATTTTTATGTCATCAATGGTTATTAAACTTACAAAAAAGGAGCATATTATAATTTTATTGTCATTGCAAACTGACTACCATGACATAATAAGTCTGTCCCTCGATTTGGCGTCACGACCATTTGGGAAAATTTTTCAACTTTGGAGCACGACAGTGGCAAGCCTGGCGTTGATGGAGTCAGTTGGTTTTAGAGACTAGTTCGGGGTGTACGTCAGGATTGTAGTGCCGGTCGTTTCGAGTTGAAAGGAGGAATTACAAGATTAATACAGGAAAGGTTGTGTTTTTTGTAATTTTGGTGTGTCCATGACCGTACATAGTCATTCGATGAAGTAGACATGGTGTTAATTTTTTTTTATAAGATATTTCAATTGCTAGATTAACCTAGAAGTCCACTTTGTATCCTCGAACATGAGGTGCAGAGCTACCGCCAGAACAGAGCCAAATAACACGTAATTTCACGACCAAAGTTTCACGACCATCGCGGGTTTTTTCACGACCTATCCAGCCTTATGGATTATAGTGTGTTTGGTCGTGACAATAACTTTAATATAATTGTAATTTGAAGAGTTTAGTTCAATTGAAACACATATTTTTATTATAACTAATAGTATAATTAAAGGATTGTTTAGAAAGATTTAGATTTTTTTATAAAATTCACGACCGTACTGCTTGTCCCTGACTATCACGTTTATGATTTCTGTCATAAAAATTTCAAAAATTATAATATCGTCATATTTCAATGTTTTATACACAAAAGAAGCACGCCTATATGCAAACATAACGATTTTTCGGGTCTCAGGTAAGTTTCTTCGGAGTTATACAAACTTAAAAAGATATTATTGGCTTTTTTTCAATTTTTTTGAGTTTTTTTATTTTTTTCTAGAAAGACCAAATATACTAAAAGCTCAGTGACCTTTTTAATGTATAATGGTCATAAAAGTAAATTAGTTTATAGCAAAACATAGTTATAAAAATAATATTAACTATTTTTAATATTCATTTAAACATCTGTTATGGTCGTGACAGGATTTTGTGTTTTTCCACTAAAGATGCTCTTTTTAAAAAAAACTACCAAAGATATTGCGTTACCATGGACATTTTATGAAACTTCAAATGTTAATGAAATCAAAAAAATAATAAAAGTTTTGAAAAAAGGGGAAAAAAATTTGCAAAGTGTGTTTCCTGAAAACGTACGTTTTTAAATTTTCACTCGCTACCGAATACAGCTTTCCCACACAGAACAGGATTCTGACCAGTTCCCACATATCCCAGGATTTGAGAATGTCCCTAGGATAGGATCACTCTAAAATATTGCACATATCCAACACAAACGAATGCATTTTGAGGATATCCTGGGGTCTTCCTATGGATATTCTCGGTAGGCTACCTATATTAAAACATATTTTATAGTACTGGATGTATTTTTTCAAGTGACAAGTGCTTGAGAAACGTTATTAAAAAGGATTTCAATACTATTTCGAATAACGTTACTAATGATTTATAAAAATTAATCATGATTCTAACTTATTTGAGAAAATGTATTGGTTGAAAATTTAAGGAGAGTTTAATTTAAGAATTTAATTAATCATATAACAGTTATAATCTATATTCTTATTACAGTATATCCTCTACAACTCCCAGAAAAACAATTAAACAACTTGATGCCTAAACAGAATCATAGTATCAAAAATATTTAAGTAGTGCGACCATTTCAGCTGTCGGCTCCTCTTTAACCGCTTGAAAACTAGTAATATCAACAATCACAAATAGCTCAGGAGGTAAGGTAAGAGTTTAATAAGTCAAAGGTATCCGATTCAAAACTCGTCTGAGCAAAAATATTTTTGTTTCTATTTTATTCCAAAATTTGTTTTTATGGGCTATTTAATTAAAATACTTAACTGGTAAAAGTGCTTTTCATACTAAATATTTATTACTTTGTGTTTTTATGTATATTATCCTGGTGGGATATCCCAGGGATCAGGATTTGGGCGGACATGGGGATATCCCAGGGAGTTCCCCGGGATATCCTGAGGATATTGCGGGATATACAGAGGATATCCCCCATATCCCACTGGGATATCCCCAGGACATTCCATGGATATTCTTGTGTTGTGTCTGTACTCTACAAATTTGATATTCCCTTTAAGCTCCAAGTTTTTGGTAGGTTTGTCGAATAGTGCGTTGGTAAAAGTGCTTGAAATATGGAAAAAGGAGAAAAAGTATTGAGTTTATTTTGGAAGATCTGGCTACAAGATTACTTAATGAGCCTACGTGAAAGGCAAGCAACGGAAATGAAACAGAAAAATGGAACTACAAAAAACCAACCAAATGTTGGAGATACTGTTGTCCTGATCCATGTAGAACTATACCACGAGGAAGTTGGAATTGCTTAATATGTTTTAATTGGGGTAAGACGGTAAGATCATTTAAGTTTACAGAAATTGCGCTGAAGACTACTGTGACACGAAAAAAAACTTTGGACGGACTCACACAATGTATTCAACCAATGGAGAACAGTGAGTATGTCCAAAGTATTTTAATACTTTAATACTTTTTTAAGAAATGGGGACCATACAAAGTAGGTATTTTGCGTGTCACAGTAGTCTTCAACGCAATTAATCATACATTAAATAAATATAATTTTAATTTATTCTACCTAATGATTGTGGATTTCATGTAAATTTTTGTGTATGCGGTAGTTTATACAGGCTATTTGGCGTTTGCGCAAACTAGAAGTACCCACTTTCCGACGACGACAATTACATTTGCTCACATCGCGTTGTGGATATTTTGGCTTTGCTCAATCGCCGAAGAACGTTTTGACTTTGGCATTTGAGTAAACTAGTTTACCCACAACGCGGTCTGGGAATTTCGTTTCGGCCAATGTCCGAAAAGAAATGCTCACTCCGCGAAGTGGGTATATCACACTTTCCACATCGCGAAGTGGGTAAAAATTTCGGACATTGTCCGAATTTGGAGTTTGAGCGTAACATCAACATAAAAAGGAATGTTTCAAGCGTTCAGAAACCCCAGAATGTTGAGAGTGGAGTAAGTGATATTGTATAGTTTCATTCAATAGAAAAGGACTAGAAATTACTCCAAATGGCACTCTGCAAAATCTATACTCTATTACTCTTCAACATTGAGCATCGATAGTAAATTTTTTCGAAACATCAATGTTTTTCTATCGATGGTCGGTATTTTTTACATTGATGGTAGATTACCGATGTTTTTGTTAAATCGATGTATAAGTCAAACATCGATATTTTTTGGCCAGTATTGAGATATCGATGTTTTCCATTACTATAGAGTATAAAAAACAGGCGAAAAACATCGGAAACTTTGATGTTTTAGTCCCAAAAACATCAATGTTTGTTTACGCAACGATGTTATCAGTACATAGGTGGTTGACGTCAATTTTACAATCGATGGTTGACCTATCGATGCTCATTTGAACAGTAATTTTAACAGGAATGAAGGGATGCACTATTTTGTTTAGAATTATAAGGACCATAACAGAAGAATTTAAATCAGAATCAGTTTTTCTTAAAAAAATCATTTTTTTGTTTTTTAAATGGGTTTTTATGGGAAAATAACATAAGTTACAATAACTTTTGAACCATAATTTTTACAGAAATGGGGGGTTGCACTATGTTGTTTGGAATCATAAGTATTACCACATACTAATTTCAATCTAAACCGGTTTCTTTCAAAAATACGATTTTCTCTTATTTTATGGGAAAATAACATAATTTGAATAACTTTTGAACCGTAATTTTTACAGAAATGGGAGTTATACCATTTTGTTCGGAATTTAAAGGGCTACAACATACTAAATTTCCATCAAAATTGTTCAGGCCATTTTTTAGAAAATCAGATTTTCCCGTTTTTT